CACTGCTCAAATTCTAAACAACCTGCTTCCACTGCCGAGATACCGGGCGCTCATATTATAAGGTAAGGTTATAAAACCACCTTTTAAGATCATTTTAATGAAAGTTTCATGTTCCTATCTCATATAATTTAAGAACAATGATGAATAAATCATTTTCGAGCAAAATTTAAATGGCCGGCTGAATATATTACCGCCGGAGAGACGGCAGCGGAATTTAAATAACCGCGCGAAAGGGTTAATAGACCCCATCCCACACTTCGCACACCCTTCCCCTATCGCCTCCTTCATCCCCCAAGTGTCCCAGGAGAACTGTGAACTTGAAGCCAAAGAGATCAATGAATTTACCTAGCCCCCCCCCCTTATGGCAGAACAGTCGGTTAACACAATATCTACACTGCACCACATCCCAGAAGACTGCTTTCTTCATCTTCCTACATGTTTATGCAAGTTTAAAATATGTCAGATCTCTTTTGGCTCCTGTCTATAAGTGTAATGTCATGAAATATCTACCAGACATCTGCTACTTTATATGTACTGCATATATAACATTAATGCACACAACAATCTAAGATGTAAACTGTTTCATGGATTAAATTGTATAAGATTGCCTTGTTTTCACATGAAAGGCATTGTCAAATCAAAAAATCTGACAATGCTCCCCAGAAATGAACATCCTAAATTCCTGAGCATAGATACTGCTATCCTAAACAATGCTAATACACCTTACTCTTCTGACTGCCTAGAGTTAATATTTTCATCTGTCACCATCTTTGAAGCATATGAAGGCTTAACAAGGCAGTACATTATCATAACTTCAGCTGGGACTCCATTTCTGACCTGGCACTTGGCTGAAGTTCACAAGCTGACACATTAACTGTAGAAGTAATCGTCATTCCAGGATAAGTTCTTACTGTGACTTACATTCTTAAAACATAAAGGCAAATTAAAGCAAAGCTTAAACTGTTACTACCATGAACACAAGGAGCTTCAGTTTGTTCTATACAGTGTCTTTTTATCTGTGGAGATGCGATATATAACAGACTGTTGCAAAAGTATGAAAACTTGATGCTTCAAAAATAAAAAAAATCTCACTTCAGACAATTGATCTCTGCCTCTACTAAGAGTTTATATACTAAAAAGCATGAGTTGCAATTCTACAAAAAGCTTAATAGTACTTGCTTTGTCAATTATGCTAGCAGTTTTAATTCTGACAGCCTGAGCTGACACAAGGAGTGTGTACCTCTTCCAAGTGACTCAATGATTTTGGAGGAGCTTCAATCACATTTTGTGTGCATGCGTGCGTGCACATGTGTGTGAGTATTGTAACCAGTGTGGCAATGGTGTCATTCTTTTCTTGTGGTTGAACAGTTCAGAAGAAGTAGCTATAAAACATGCAAAATAAACACTGCACCAACTTTGAATCCCTTTGCTTCCACAGGTACACCTACATGCACTCATGTGTAGACCAGTTACACAAGCCTACAAGCCTTATTGGTATAAAAAATACAAAAAAGATTGTTAGCTGTGCTACTGCTGCCATCTGTGAGCAACGTGTTCCATGCGATTTAGCAAACATGATATCTAGTGACTAGTGAAGGCACTTTTTAGTAATTCATAGATGAGGAATATAGGTAAGAATTCAAAGGGTGGTTTCCTAAGGCAGGCTATCTTAAGTGGGGAAGATGTAGATGGGTTAAACCCTGTTCCAATTTAGATACCATCTATATATCCTACTATCCTTTGCTATTAATTCACTTCAACTTATCCCTAAAGGCAGACTTTGAAATGTAACCACTCACAAGACACAAACATTCCTTACTTACCTATACAAAAATCTTATGACTCAAATATAAAAGTAGGGAATTGTTTGGCATACTGCAGCTTTCTATCAGGCACCTCTCTTTCCTTCTGTGACCTGTCACGGATGAACAAAATGTTATGTCATAAGGGAAGTGTATCTGTTGCTCATATGACATTAAATCTGAGGAAAGGTCATATACTATTTAATAAGAAATTCTAAAAACATACTGAACAAGCTGAAATATAATATTATGAATAGTAGTCACACTAACACCATATACAACTACATGAATTGTAAGGGAAACTACTGCGCTGTAACTCTAATATAAATTTTTACAAAACATGTTTAACAATGAAGCTAGTACCGAGATACGTGCAGATCAAAATACCAACTAATAATGAAATGGTGAGAAAAACAAACAATATGTTTTAAAATTAAATAACATTCTTATACAAAAAGGAACAAAAAATTATACACACAGCTCTAGCACATCAACACATATGGCGATACTCCTGGAACAATATCGAACAATCCATAAACCAAAAATGAAAAAAAGAAATGACTGAAGTATACCATAAGCAACACAAAATACACAAGTTAAATAAACAAGTAAAAAACATAGCACATATACTACACTAGAGCAGAAAATCATACAAACATACAGTTCACAAATGATGAAATACAATTATTAACTAAGTGTTAGAATACAATTTACATCATACGAAGGGGGACCCAAAAATAACCGGAAACCACCTGTTGCGCACGCATGCTTTGTAGTTATGAGTTGTGCTGCTAGGTGCTGTTAGCTGGGGGTCTCCCGCGACTGTTAGTGAGCTGGCGTCAGTCTGAGTTAAGTGGTTTGTCTCTGGTGCTCTGTTGTGTGCGTTCCTGTTTCAACCCTTTGGCGATTAGTGAGATGGCCGACCAGAAGGAACAAAGAGTGTGCGTGAAATTTTGCTTTCTGTTAGGGAAAACTGCACTTCACTCTTCAAGTCGCGGCAAACATTCACGCGGTTTTCTCTTTGGTCATCTCCGAGCAAGCGAGGAACAAATTTTGCAGACACCCGTCTCATGTGCAAACCTTCGGTTAAAATTCGCTGGACCGTGCTCCATGAGATGTTCGTTTCCTCAGAAAGTTGGTCAATGGTCTTTCGACGATCTTCATCAATTTCACGCACACTCTTTGTTCCTTCTGGTCGGCCATCTCACTAATCGCCAAAGGGTTGAAACAGGAACGCACACAACAGAGCACCACAGACAAACCACTTAACTCAGACTGACGCCAGCTCACTAACAGTCGCGGGAGACCCCCAGCTAACACCACCTAGCAGCACAACTCGTAACTACAAAGCATGCATGCGCAACAGGTCGTTTCTGGTTATTTTTGGGCCCCCCCTCGTAAACACACACAAAAAAAAATGGATAGAAACATTAGCTCTCAAAGCAGAAACAGCAATAAGCCAGTTAGATGCCATGGAACAAAATTACTACAGACATGAGGTTGCAAAAAACTTAAAAAGATTATCCAGGGCAATAATACAATAAGTAAGAGAAACAAGACTGAATTGAAATTAATGACTAACATATAAAGTAAAATGAGAACAAACAAACTCATTTTTTCACTTAGTGGGGGGTGGAGTCCAATTGGGTCCACTTGGCACGGTGGCCACTGATTGGCCTATTGTAGTGTGGGAGCTGCTCACATTCAAACAAGCATGACAACGCAAGCTTCACTGCTTAGCAACGACGAGTAAACAGCGGTTGCTAGGCAAAGCCTACAACAATACTGACAGTGACATGTTTTCTATATGTCTGACTCTAGGCTACATAAGAAGATACACTGAGTTACAGTTACAGTTCTAGATTCTACAGTTCACTATTGTTATTATCCGTCTGTGTATACTGTGCAGCTGCAATAAATCCTATAGGACAGTTCAACTAGTGGTTGTCTCTTCATATGANGGGAGTCGTTGATTTTCACCACACGTGCTTCCAATCACATCGGGGTCACCAGTGTGGATGTCATATGAAGAGACAACCACTAGTTGAACTGTCCTATAGGATTTATTGCAGCTGCACAGTATACACAGACGGATAATAACAATAGTGAACTGTAGAATCTAGAACTGTAACTGTAACTCAATGTATCTGTATCTGTATCGGCTGTCCGGCGGTCTCACACCCGACGCACTGGGCAACTGGCATAGCTACCGCCTCACCACTCCGGTGACCGCGCTGCGCAAGCAAACCTTTTCCTGATCACTTCAACAGCTGAGCAACCATCTCCATCTCCGTGGGGGGGGGTGAATGTGGGCCCCAGGTGATTATGATGATGGAGAATTTGGTGGACTGAAGACTGGCAGGGGAAACCGAAGTACTTGGAGAAAACTCACCCCAGCGCCACTCTGTCCACCACAAATTCCACTTGACCAGACCTGAGATCGAACCCAGGCCACCGTGGTGAAAAGCCGGCGACTAACCGCTTGAACTATGGCGCAGCCTGACAAACTCATAGTAACAAAAGCAGATAAAGAGAAAACACTAATAATACACAAACAAAAAACAAAAGCATTTATACAAGACAATCAATTCACAACAATTAATAAATGCTACCATAGACAGATAAAACATTATAACATGTAAACATAATACAAAAAGAAAAAGTATGGAAATACACAAACAAATCTCAAGGCCCTGAGCCTGCACGTGACAATAGAAGTACATATAACAAACACAACTATTAGCTCTATAATCAAGTGGAAGAATGCACCAGCATATGACTTAGAAAAGCAACTGACAAAAACACCACTACTTAAATTTGCCATACACACACAATGTGTGCAATTCCACCCACATTGTGACTGAGCTAAAAACCACTGAATGGAATAGTGACATGAGAATATGCTCCTTCGATATCGAAAATATGTACACAAACATATCAAGAAAAGACTACATGGCACTACATCCCAGAAGCAGTACTCTTCATAACCACCAATGTGAGAAATTCAAATTCTACAATTTTTAATTACCCCCTTCCTATGTATACAGCCTTCATTTTATGTACTTTGTGCAAAGAACAAATACAAAGAAAAGGTCTACATGTTCATTATTTTCAAGATTATTAGGTTCAAATAATGTCTATACAGAATACAAAAGCATATCAGCATGCGGAGTTCATTGTTTTGGCACCTTTGTGTCCTTGTGGAAGTACAGAACTTGCCTACTTTCAGAATTATAAGAATCAAATGACTATTTCGCTTTTACAAGTATCTCACCTCCTAGTTCTATTCTGTGTTCTTGGTATTGCAGTCACATTCAGTCCTGACACAGTGAGCTCCACAGGCCGCAGAGATCCAAAAAAATCTGTGATTAGGACCTTGTGAGGATCACGTGAGAACAGATCCTTTCTCACACCAACTGTGGAGATACAAACTCTCTTGGGGCAAACAGCAAGCTGAAACAAAATCAGCCGACAACATAACTAACATTGAAACGTTCTCACTATGAAGCCAACTACGAAATTAATAAAATTCATGAAAATATGCAGGTGTGTGCGCATCACTATTGAGCTGACATCTGTTGCGAACCTGATGGATTCACTGCTTCCATACTGAATGATATTCCGTTTTATATTTCTTTTTCTATCCTTATGTAAGTGTCAGTGCCATGACTGCAGTGTTGTAGTGTGAGGGACTGGGTTTAAGATGCATCAGCTTAATAGCTATTTGAACTTAAATAAAATACAAGCCAGAAAGTCAATTACTTAATCTGTGCTAAAATGCAGTAAAACTACATAACTGTCAGAGAGTAAACGGAACTAACAGATAGACCAGCGGTAAAATTAAAACAAATAGGATGAATGGGACAGCAGTCTGTGAAGCATGCAAATGAGGTTCAGAAATGATAACATGAAGGAAATGAGACAGTCATAATGATGTCTACAAACGTACAAAATTCCGACAGTCGAACATACTTGTGGTAATCCCTATACTGTTGAGAACTTCCAGAACATTCGGTACACTTAGTAAGTCAGCTCCAAGGATGTCATGAGGTTAAAATGTGGCATGTTCTTTGACATAACATGGGAATTCCACCAAGATGCATAAGATTGTAAGGGGTGCCCCATACTATGTAAAAATAGGTGCCTAATCTATATGCAACAAATGTTTATGTATTAGATGAGAGTGACCATGACTTCCTCCTTCCTAGAGGACTGCATGCCTGAAGGGATGGAATACTGTACAGAATAAACACTTCACATGGTACCAGCATGGGGTGGATCCACTGTAAAATTTTGTATTAATGTTTTGATAAAGACTGTAATTTCTAATACCACACTTATCATGTCCAGAGCTGACACAAACATAAATCAAGATTCTCATTGATGGTAAATGTACCAATGACTTGCTTGTTTACATACAGCTGTATCATGTGAAGAAGTCTTCTATTAGATTCAGGACATTACTGTGTAAAGAAAAGCATCCATATGATATGTGGAAATGTTTTCACCATCACTAGAATTTACTTAGTCAACACTGATGGAGAAATGTGAAAAATATGTCTGAAACTGGTTAAATGCAAGTAACAGATTGTAGATGACAGGCAGTAACACAATATAAGACAGTACACTGGCTTGCCAGTAGTCAACTTGATAACTGTGTAAGTAAGAGAATGAAATCTGTCTCTCAATCACAAGATTTTTCTGAAACACGGCCACTTGGCACAGCAGTAATACATTACGTTTGTTTTTGACAAGAAGTGAGCAAGAGGCTCAGCCTGGTTACAAGTTACCCTCACTGAGGTTACCATGACTTGTCTCTCCAAGCAAATAACAACTTGAGATTGGCCATGGCTGTCTCACTGTTCACAATCATCTTGCCATTTAATTTAATGCTACCTAACTGCTACGACTGAAACATCAATGTTGAATAACCTATGAATGAATGCATCCACTGACCGACCGACCAATCAATCAATCAATCAATCAATCCCATTTCTGAAAATAAATGTTTGCACTCATTGCTCTCATCAATACTTCATGTTGTTTACTTACAAATTCACCCATTGTTTTAGTACTGTCTGGCTCCACTCGTTCCAAAAAGTCAAGTGCATAGTATGTATATCTGTCAATGATGTACACTCCTATAGCAGGATCAACATGGTGCTGAAAGAGAAAATCAAACACATTTATGTTCGTAATAAGAAATATCAAGGAAAAGACTGACAACAACTTTAGAAAGAACCTGAAGATTCCTACCCTCAAGTCTATATGGTGAGGCTAACAGAAATGATAAATTAATTACAACTCAATTCACTAATCCATTTTTGTACATAATTTCCACTACTACTGATCCCAGCTACATTGAATTTGCCCAATATAATCACAACATTTGAGGTATCACTATATTTGTAATTTTTAATATACAGAAGAATGTGTCACATAAATTTCAACATTATGATCTCTATATAATGTTTCACATGCCTAGCGTGAATGGTTCATTCACATGAAATTTTAGCATTATACATTCTTCCTCATGTACATTAAATTAACATAGGCCTGGTTTCTTTTTATTTCTCCAGAAGTTAAATCCCATTTCATATTTTAACCTAACAGTCTGCCTCAAATACTGACACTAAATTTTTCCATATTATACATAACATAAAATTTATTCTATCGATTCTATGACAACATGAAGAAAGCAGTCTTCTGGGATTTGGCACCGTGTATATGTGGTGTTAACAACATTCTGCAACTTACTGAGAGTGAATCCTCTCCCACTAGGCTGCTAGCCACAGACAAGATATTGGGTGAGTAAAACTTCTCATACAAGGAAGCAGCCTGGCATGTGTCAATCATGAAGAAAATCTCATGATACCTGCAAAGTGATATCCATAATCACACTACAGCATACTGCAGTCAGAAATTATTTGCCCTGTGTTTAATCAAATATTCACCAAGTTCAATGAGTTTTTGAAATAAAAACTGTAGAACTTAATGACAAAATTAACAGGCCTCTCTCTCTCTCTCTCTCATGCATGTGCCCCCCCCCACACACACACACAGTTTTACCTGCACACTTTCAATGAAGCAGGAAAGTGTGTAGTTACAGCCTACAATGGATCAGAACTGCCACTTGCCACTAATTTCTAACAAAGAACCTGAACTTAAGACTTAATACACTGTGGTTAGAATCTTGAGTCAGTAGGTGAAAACAACTGGTAAGTCTGTGGATTTGATATGCACAAACTCTTTTCTTTGCCCTAAACTTGATCCACAGTTTTTTTTGTCAAAAAGAAGTTATGTATTTGCACAAGAAAAGACATGCCATGTCGTGCACTATGGTGTGCGTTATTAATGCAACAATAATAAGTTCTTGGAACAAGAATAAATAGATCCACACTGGAGTAGTGACTGTGCATATACAAAAAGTTAGCTCTGTAGATCACGACCATGACAACCCAATACCGCCACAAACACTTTGTTGTATGGTTGCCCTAATTCTTATGTCATGTACCAAATATTTCTGTGATAAGTCAACTCTGCAAACATCAATTAGGTTGGGCTACACTGGCTCCATATAAAGCAAAATTAAATTAACCTAGCAACTTTCAGTGAAAAAACAGTCAGTACCAAATTTTGCTGAAACCCATTAAGTAGTTTTAGAGATACTTGGAAGCAGAGAGATGGACATAACTTTCCAATTATGTCTCAATTTTAAGCATTCTATGGAAGAATGCATAATACAAGGTGTGGCAATAAAGAAACTGGATTCATGCTCTAACCCTTTATTAAAAAAAAATCAGACAGTCGAAATGTTATCCCCTTCAATGTAGTCCCCTCCCCGATCCCTACACCGCTCCATGCGAATTTTCCACTGTTGGAAGCAGTGCTGCAGGTCATCTTGTGTTATGCTCTTCAAGAGTTGCGTCGCTTTTGCTTTCACTGCATCCACGGACTCGAACCTGGTCCCTTTCAGCGCAGACTTGATTTTTGGGAAGAGAAAAAAGTCGCACGGTGCTAGGTCCGGAGAATACGGTGGATGTTCCATCACTGGAATGTTGTTTTTTGCCAAATACCTCTTCACAGATAGCGCGTTGTGTGCTGGCGCGTTGTCGTGATGAAGAACCCATGAGGCATTCTTCCACATGTCTGGTCTCCTTCGTCGCACACGTTCACGGAGGTACGTCAAAACATTTTTATAATAAACCTGATTGACAGTCTGACCTTCAGGCACCCAATCAATGTAGATTACCCCCCGGATATCGAAAAAAACAATCATCATTGCTTTGAATTTGGACTTGCTCATGCGCGCTTTCTTCTTCCTAGGGGATTTGGGGCTCTTCCAATGCATGGATTGTCGCTTAGTCTCTGGATCATATTGAAGAATCCAAGTTTCGTCACACGTAATTACGTTTTGGAAGAAATCAGGATCATTTTCAATGTTTTCAAGAGTGTCAACACAGCAATTCACTCGATGTTCCTTTTGCTGGGGGGTAAGGATTTTTGGCACCACTTTAGCACACACCTTTTTCATGCCCAGATCGTCGTGCAAAATCTGTCTAACACTTTCCTTATTGATGTTCGTAAGTTCAGAAATTGCTCGAATGCTCAGTCGACGATCTCTTCGAACAATTCTAGCGACCTTCTCCACATTCTCTGGAGTTTTCGCAGTGGGAGGACGGCCCGATTTTGGATCGTTCCCGACGTTTTTCCTACCCTCCATAAACTTCTTAAACCACTCGAAAACTTGCGTGCGAGATAGACACTGATCACCATATACTTCTGTCAACAAATTGTAAGTTTCAGTGGCAGATTTTCCAAGTTTTGTGAGGAATTTGATGTTAGCACGTTGTTCTGCATTAGCACTCAGCATTATTCCGACGGAGCTCAGAAACACGATCCGCTTCTAACAATGGTCGCGGCCAGACTAACCGATGCACGTGAATGAAACTTTGTGTGACGGTAGAGGGAAGTCCAAGGGTCAATGCCCTACCCTCCTCTTCTTCAATGACGTGGCCGGAAATGAGTCATAAAAGTAATCCGGGTTCTTTATTGCCACACCTTGTATATTTTTACTAGAAAGTTTAACATAAATTTAAAACTTGTATCTGAGGCCGCCAATAGTCATTAAGTGTCCAGTCAGAATACAAGATTCATGCTGACAAAAGAGAGCATTTAGAAAACTACAGGGGATAGACAAAAATACGGAAACACCTCGTGAAATGCATGCCTGAAATGAAGTGTTTATTTTAGTGACGTTTGTAGGTGACGCTGTCGTACCTGTTCAATACCACTACCTGTACAACCTCTGCAATACTTTGCAAGCTTCATCTGTTGTCGAGACAGTGTTCTGTGCAGTTTTTAGTGCATCATGTCAGAGCTAACAGAATTCGAATGCGGGCAAATTGTTGGGGCCTGTATGGTGGGTGCTTCTGTAACCAAGGTAGCCGAGGTTTTTGGTGTTTCACCAGGCACAGTACCCAAGATTATGACCGCATACAGGAGGACTGGAAAAACCACATCCGATAAACACCAGCGTGGATGGAAATGTGTGTTGAGTGATCGAGACAGATGAACATTGAGTAGGATTGTGACGAAAAATAAGAATAATGAAGCTGCAAAAGTTGACTGCTGAACTGAATGTCACACTCACAAATCCTGTCAGCAGCAAAACAGTATGAAGGGAACTCCACAAGAAGGGTATTTCTGGATGAGCTGCAATTTCAAAGCCACTCATCACTGATAAAAAAGGGCACTAAGCGGAAAGTACGGTGCCGAAGTCATAAAACCTGGACTGTGGAGCAATGGTAGATGGTCACTTGGTCGGATGAGTCCACCTTCACACTGTTTCTGACTTCTAGCTGAGTTTACATCTGGAAAACGCCATCCCAAGCTTACGATCCAGATTGTTTGCTGCCAAGAGTGAAACATGGCGGGGGTTCGATCATGGTATGGGCAGCCATATTGTGGTATTCTGTCGGACCCACCATTACCCCACAAGGTCACTTCACTGCCAACGACTATGTGACCATTTTGGGAGACCACGCCTATCCCATGGTGCAAACTTTGGTCCCCAATGGTGATGCCATTTACCAAGACGACAATGCCCGTGTTCACATAGCTCACATCATCCAGGACTGGTTTTCTGAGCACGAAGATGAAGTGTCACATCTGCCACGGCTCCCACAATTGCCAGATATCAATATTATTGAGCCTTTGTGGTCTGTTTTGCAGAGCAATCTGCGGGCACTCTATCCACCTCCATCATCGTTAACAGAACACGCCAATGTTTTGCAGGAAGAATGGTACAATATTCCCTAGCAAATCATAGAGGACATCTATTTATTCATTCCAAGGAGATTGCAAACAGTTCTGCAAGCCAGAGGTTGTCCTACACCATGTTAGTCATGGTAACGTGTTTTTTGTTGGGTGTTTCAATATTTTTGTCCAGCCCCTGTACATGCATCAAAGTGCCTTTGCACATTGCAAATTCAATTAACTTTCATGATGACAATACTGACAGGATAAACTGCACCACAAAACCCCTAAACACAGTTGAAATGCTTTACACTATGGTCATCCATCATTGACCATGGGATATATATGGGAGGGAATTATGGGAACTGTAGTCACTGTTAACAATCATTCAAGCCTGAAGGTTCCTGTTCCACCGCTAAGCACAAAAGCTACATAACATATTCAAAAAATTAAAACATAAAATATTAACAAATGTAAAAAAAGCATTGCAATGGTAATGTGGAAGGTAGAAAAGAGTTTTTGAATGTCATGAGCCCTTCCCAAGCAAACATGGATCTTACTGTGTGGATGCTATCAATATTTTACACACACATACACAAACTGATAACCATAGATACATGAAGCCAAATACTGTGTCTTGAAAAACTATATACAAATAGAGAGGTGTAGATACTTTAAATGCAAAGTTTGCAAGGGATTGCTGTACTACTGCTGTGGATGTCCTTTGGTCTCACTGTCTGAGATCACAGCAAATAAAACCAAAAACATTTGAATAAACAGGAACCCACCTCTTGGCATGAATATGATCTCAACAGTAATCATCAGAACAGGCAGTTATGACAATGATAAGTTATTACAAAAGCAGCAAAATCTTCTTGTAATGATACACACATAAAATTGAATTAAAACAAGCCTGCCTAATTACTAACCTGGCCATGAATAGCAAGCAAATTGAGAACTGGAAGTTTGCTCCCATTATCACAACTGCAGTACTTACTTGCAATAGATAACTGGGACCTTCAGTGATTTGAAGTTTGTATTTCAGAATTACCTTTCTTGTCCATGTACATACATCTCTTACGTAATGCGATTAGAGTATGTGGCTATATGGGAGTACCTGTTTAGTTTTACATACTGTGTTCAGTGATAGCTTAGGATTTTCTACAGAATTTTTTCCCTGCTGTGAAAATGTTTATTAAAAGATAGTGAGAGGATTTTGGGGGTTAATATTATTAATACAGGTGTACATAACCTTACCTTCGCTTCTGCCACATTTGCTCAACTGCATCAGCCAATTCTTGGCTTGTTACCTCCTCTGAATCTTGAAATTTGAGAAAGCCATCACCTCCATGACCCGTGAGGTAAACCAGCACGTTACTCCCTTCATCTGTCAGTAACTGTTTAGAACGAGGTGTACCTGGCGGTGAGCGCCCAGTCAAGAGCCGCACAAAATTCTCCACTGTCACCTGCAGTAACAATTGTAAACATACTATGACATGAGGCCTGAAAGCCGGAATAGTGGAGCCAGAGTGAACATCCATTGCTAGCCAGCAGCTTGCCAAACATATGTTCCCACATCTACGAACAAGTCCATTGCTAGATAAGGGTTCAGTAAGAACGTTTCCAGTGACAACAGACATTTTCCATGGTTACTGGCAGCATATATAAGGAGCCATGCAGAGAAGAACAAGTCAGTTGTAAGGGAGTCATAGTTCAGTTCAGTTGTAAGTTAGTCATAAGAGAGTTCCGTGTTCAGCTGTGAAGTGTTAACCAGTGGCCAACAGAAGCTGAAAAAGTGACTGACTCCTAAATCAGAACCAAGTCAGTTACAGGAGAAGAGAAGACACTTGTAGTCCAGTGAGGAATGGAGCAAGTCTTAGGCAGTCATCAACTGTGAGCTGTTATAATCGATAGTAATTAAGAGTGACTGTAACAGGAGGCATCCAATAAATCAAATCATCCAGTCCACAACCAATTATTATTATTTACACAAACACCTCATACATGATAATACTTCTCAAGTTCTGTATATGAATGAAAGCATGAGGTGACAAAAGAACTTCTATAAAGGTTTTATAACACATATACTTTCAATGCATCAATCTATACAGGGAGACTGAAAGAACTATAAAGAATGAATGGATCAATAAATCAATGAATCGATGAACAAATAAATGAGCACACAAACAAACAAACCAATCAACTAAATCAATGGAGGAGTCCTTGAGAAGCCAACAGTTGCTCAGTTGCTCAAGAATCCTTTGTTTTGGGGCAAGCATACACATGACCTCATGGTTGCTGTATATCCTCTTTAGGTGGATCATCTCCATGTCCAGGCTATCCTCATTGCATATGGTTTTGGGCCATTGGTTTTGTAAGTAGGAAGTTGTCTGTTATGCTACGTTTCCACGGGGTGTGGATACGAAAGCGTGCAACGCTTTCGTACTTGCTTTCGTGAATTTGCAGGCGTGAACCCACCAGTCGTGGGTCGTGAGTAGTTCACACTGGCTGAAGTGTCTACGAAGACGTGATTCAGTTGATCGCGGAAAGCTGATCATGAACGAGCTCCTCATAGAAAGTTGTGCTGTTGTGAGTTCAGTTTTTGCTGCTATTTTAGCACAGAGAATGAATCAAATGGTGGAAATGAAAGGAAAACGGAAGAAAAGGCGATGGTGGGTTAGGAAGTGGATTCTAAACAGGAAATTAGGGCCACATAATTTGGTTGACATGGAACTCAGAACTAGTTACCCAGATGATTTCAAGAACTTACTACGAGTGTCTGAAGACCAATTTGATTTCCTTCTGGAACGTGTTTCACCACTGGTCGCAAAATCAGATACTAATATGAGACAGGCAGTAAGTGCAAAAACAAAACTTCTAGTGACTTTACGATATTTAGCCACAGGAGACTCTTTCAAGAGTCTGGAACTTTTATTTCGTGTTCCAAAAAGTACAATTAGTAAATTCATACCCAACACCTGCGAAGCTGCTCACAAGACACTTAAAGAATTCATAGAGGTAAGCGAAATGTTATAAGTACAATTTTTTTAACAAGTCTTTTATTACAGCTGTTTTGTAACAAATCGTTTATTCCAGCAATTCCATTTTTTTATTATAGCTACAATAATTATTACAGTAACATTTTATTATAACTAACATGAGAGAATTTTTTTTGTGTTCTGATTAGTATTAATAGCTCATCATAACTGCGTAAAGAAGAAATCATCAGAAATTCCAGTCATACTTGACTCTCTACTTGTAGGTAGTGTTGACTGGTTGGTGGGCACATAGCGTTAACTAGTAGAGAAGTAATGTTCTCTTGCAGTCTGATAGCGGTTGGAGGTCCAATCTGGCGTAACATGGACGCAACATATTTCCCGAAACAGTCATATGTGTCATCTTTCGTAATTTGTGCAGCACGATTAGAAATATCTTGTAATTTGTCAATGGCACCTGACATAAAATCAATTTGGGGGTCATGTAAAGGTTGTTTATTTGAGGATGACTGCCGGGGTTCTGTTGAAGGCATTTTTTGCTTGCGAATTGGCCTGGATGTCTCAGTTTGTTCTGTGGTGTGGGATGGTCCTGGAACCGTCTCATTGAGATCGTCAATAGGCCTTTGATGTTGGGGTGGAGATTGTGAAGGCTTCACTTCTGATTGTTGTACTTGTGACTCTGTTGTGGTGTTCGTTGGTAACTCCTGCAATCAAAACATGAAATATTTTGTTTGAGGTGCTGGCAACATCAGATGACTGGAAATATGTTGAATATGGATTTAGAAATCGATGAAATTTTCCAGGCTGTGTAGGAGCTCTGGACGGAAAACACATTGTCATACGTGCCCCTCCCACTACTGGATCCGATTTTTACAATTATAAAAATAGTTTCAGTATTGTCTTAATGGCTTTAGCTGACTCCGATTATTGTTTACTGTATGTTGACGTTGGCGCTAATGGAAGAGGTTCTGATGGAGGAGTATTTCAAAACAGCTCTTTATACAATGCTTTAGAGACAAACAGCTTACCAATACCAACTGATTTCGTAATTGTGTAGGACGATGCGTTTCCGTTAAAGACGTATTTGATGGAACCGTACAAGCGACGTAACTTGTCCGAAGAAGAAAAAAATTACAACTATCGACTTTCAAGGGCTCGAAGAGTGATAGAAAATACTTTCGGCATACTTGTGAGTAAATTCAGAGTGTTTGAAAAACCAATGTCTTTAAAATTAGAATCGGTGGACAAGGTAGTGCTCGCCTGCTGCACGTTGCATAATTGGCTGAGGAAAGCAAATCCCACCTACATCTCAAGCGGTTTAATTGATTACGGAGATGAAAACCATCGTATTGTCCCCGGATCCTGGCGTCAG